GCCATTGCATCTGTCTTCTTAAAAAAAGAAAAAAAAAACATGTTTGCGCAGTCGACAGGATTCAAACCTGTGCGGGGAGACCCCAATGAATTTCTAGTCCATCGCCTTAACCACTCGGCCACGACTGCGGGACGAGTAGGGGGCTCTGAGATGTGGTAGTAACTCAAGAGCTGGGGATGTCATGGCTGAAACGTTGCATGTAGCCGCTCAACGTCTATACAGGAGAGGGCGCTGCGGTCAAATGCGTATATAATCGCGTTAAACTTTGCATGCATTGGACCAACGTTTATAGATGAGAGGGCGCTGGGGTCAAATGCTCAAATGCGTATATAACCACGTACCATACCTCACATTCTGTTTCTGACATGGACTGTTGACTCGGGCGGTGGAGATGCGTTCCCACGGCTTCTAACGGATCCAAGCTGATCCGCCAGAAGAACCACTGGCTCTGCGTTTCACCGACCGTAAAGCAGTAATAATGAAGTTGAAACGCAACCCGGAACTCGGCACTACCTATGAACAAAATCAGTATCATCAGCACCACCAGAGCTTCGCCCCAATCAACGTCATTCACCACGTGGAGATGCGGTCATTTTATTTTGTCAATGTTCAGCTTCTTAGGTTTCAGATTCTTGTTTGGTCGTCGTCATTTGTAGCTCAAGAAGGGACATAGCACTTCGTTCTTAGCTCTTTGATGATTATGTTTCTCATGAATTTTCAGGACACCGCAAAAAATTAGCACTTGTGCCAGAAAAACAAGTACAGTTCCCAAGTCAGCAGCAAGTACTTCACAGGTGCCCATGCAAATTACCTCTTTTAGTGTGAAACATTCTTTAACTAGGTGTTCAGCATTTCTTGAAGCCTGGATAAAAGCGTGGCCGCGGGGGTCAACACTGGTTAGTTGACGGATGAGGGAGGAGGAGCGAGGTGCTCGACACTGATTCGTTAACGGGGAGGTTGTGACCAGGGGTGGAGTAAAGCAGGAAATACATGAGCAATGAAGAACAGGTGCCGCAAGGCAGCGCCACCAGTATCCATGGCAACCAGTGCTGGCATCCCTACGTCACTTCTGTGCGGCACCGTGGCACTCGGATCTGGTCGATACAGATCAAAGCCGCGCAATGCGACTGTGGCACGCCCGTGGCGTGGCAAGCAATGAATGTTGCGCGGCACCCACTTCGATTGCTCATTACATGTTCCATGCATGGGGAGAGGTAACTGAGGTGGGAGAGCAGGAGTGGGTTAGAAGGTTCTAGGAGATGACCAAGTTTATCATTTAAAATGTATGCATGTCACTTGTTAAATTATCCGATGAAGAGCTCCGGGAATGTAAGCGTCTCGCTGAACAGGCTAGGCGTGCTGCTAAATAAACTTCACTAAACGTTAAAGATGCTAGAACATTTCATGTATGCAACACAATTGCCTAGCAGTTTGCCATATTTTTGAAGACTGAAATATACCTGGACATCGAGGACATAGAAGCTGGAGATTGAGGACAGATTTGCTAGAGAAAAACCACAGCTCGGCAAATCAGCTCGCAATCTCAGTGATGGAAGGGCTGTGCCGTTCGCACCAAATTGCGCCATGAACGAAAGCTTGCTACATCTTGCACCAAAAAGCCATTATCATTGAGAATTGCGCTACATTTGTGCCAAGATGGGCTTAAGGAAAGCAAAAACTAAGCATAATATGTTATTGGTCGACCCTAATATTCAGAGAAGTAGGAGGAAAGAAAAATGGTACAAAAGTAATAATTTACAGCATTTCTACCCATTGTATAGACCGTTCCATTAGGGTCATAGCAGAGAGGGTAAAAGAGAAAAAAAATGCACTCCCCCTCTCCCCCGCAAGCCATCCGCTCCACCGAGTGGGCTGTAGGTAGCGTCCGGCTGGCGTGCAAACTCTGTTTAAAATCGCGTCATTTTGGAACTTTCAAGCGCAGATGCGCAGATTTTGGTATGCCAGTTATCGTGTAATACTATGCTAGATAAAAAGACTCACAGGGTCCAATTGCACTGTTACCTGCGTGCAAATAAAAAACAAGAATAGGGAAAACTGTGTCAGATTGGCCGGTCTCTTTGGCGAAAAGAAAATTCGGTTGCTGTACCTTTTTTACGATACCAAAGTTCGTACTGGTGTAGGCCTTTAGCGACCATGAGTGGAAGTCTGAAATAATAAATAAAAACGTGCTCTCCTGCCGCAATACACGCAGTAGTTGAGGGTAGTACTGCCGGCTGACTCAACTGCTATTTATGTAACGGAAAAAAGATATGCTAGTTGATCATTTAGCAAAATAGAACAACAGAGAGCTATAGCCTGATTTTGGAGTAGCCACAACTATTCTAAGAACGCGAACCACTTCACAACGGCAGCCACGAGCGATAGTTCGGTGTTCGGTAGAGCCCGCCGATACAGCCCAAAGATGGAGAACGGCAACCTCCCGGTTTGTCGTCTGCTAGCGGAGTCGGCGGCGTGCCCTCTCTCTCGTTTTACCCCGCCGAACCCGCTGAACTTCCCGGATGTGTGGAGGGGGCGCTGCGGTCGAACAAAATGGTGCCGCCCAGAGAGCGCTAAATGGAATGGTCTATAGTTAGTTTAATTTAGGTCAAAGCAGAAATGAAGTATTGAACATATACAACCACAAACACACGCACTTAAAGCGCAAGTCACAGGACATACACTGCACTTGATTTAGTCGATGAAAGAACACGTACAGGAAGATGGGCTAAGGCCATGATATGTTGATGCCGCGCTTTGACGATGTTTGGTTGGTCCCATTGGCACGTAGCATTGGCTGCACTTTGAATTAAGATGAAATTAAGCATACAAATTGCTTGTCCACTGCACTGGTAGGTTGATCACCCACATCTAAATTTCCATGTGATGTCGGCAATGTCAGGAGCTAAAAGTCCCGATAAAACATTGCATAATAGTAGGATGGCGACTCCTGTGATAAGACAGAACTATGGTCTTGTACTCCTGATGCGATCACTTGATTGTCATGTCTGCTACATCCCTCAGTACCGCCTCTCGCAAGCGCGTCGAGCTTCACTGCTTTGCACCGGAGTGCTAGGAGCAGTGGCTGGCATGGGGGTGCTCCTGGGTTTGCCCGATAGGCTCGGAAATTATGCTCAGTAATATTACAGATCACCTTCTTTGGTCTTGATGTTCAGCCACATGGAGGCTAAACAAGAAACTTTATCCACCCGTAGGGAAAACAAACCACACCATTTCTCTGCTCAACAACCACACTGGGCAACAGCAGCACTAACAATGAGTGATTTTTAAAAGCAAACTCTTGTACACTACACCTAGCGTATAACAGCACCTTTAAAAATGCCGTCGGAGTTAATTTAATGCCTTGGGAGTTTCGCGTGGCCCTAGGGAGGGGTTTATAGTCACGTGGTATGTACACAGTGCTGTATTAGCTCCGATAAGTTGTGGCGTCGGCTGCAGTCCATTGTGAGGTGAAACGAAATATATATTCCAAAAAATAGGGCAATCGGTGACCTTTAGTCAAACAGTCTATACTCTTTTCACCACTAAGCTGGCAGTGCGGTGGAAACTAGTGCTCGTTGGATCAGTCGTGTGTTCATCTGTCGCCACGGGACCTCGGTCCGCCAACACCCATGCGCAGAGAGCGGGGCCATGTGATGTAGAAGATGCAGCCGACTGTGCCTGCGAGCGTGTATCTCCCACCTCACTGTCAGTTTAAGGGTGAATGGACTAGTCCTGTTGTACGTGTGCCTTCTTTGTTGTCCTTGTCAAGTTTGCGCTATTTTAATCATGTCTTGACATACTTCGTTCGTGTGAAGATCAGTCGTGGGTCTTTCCTATAAACCACGAATGGGGCGTAGCCGAGTTTGGGCCCTTTGGAGTGTCGTCTGCTTCTGTTTCTTAGTCTCGAGTTTCCATATTGTTGAAAGTTCACCATTCCTACTTCTAGCTTGCCTGTTACTTTTGTTTCCATGAGATCAAACGGGCTCATCGAAGCTGGTTGTCTGGCAAAATGATCTTCCTGGTTGAGCGAGGGGAACGGCGGCTGTACCAGTAACTCTATTCAATAAATTCCTGAGCTACGGTTGAAAACTTTCGCGTGTTTGTCATTATTCTGTGTTGTCTCGTGACGAGTAGACATGAAGATGACTCGCCAGCGTTAACTCGTTCAGGTTATAATTTCACAAATAATTAAAAGGCGTGTGTAACTTAAGACGAAATATGTAAGCAATCAATAATCAATGTCGGTAAACAATACAACTGACAGATGTCATCCTTGTGTACTCGTAAACTGTCTGACAGGAACCTAACATATGGCAGAACCCAGGAGCGAGCACTTACCTGCGACTTACCAACTGTCATCCGATGGTTTAAAATGATAGTTTTCCAAGTCAGTCAAGTGTGGAAACTGCGATTCAAGCAGCTACTTCTCGCCGAACGATTGATCAACGCGGAGGTAGCGGAGGCCCGAAGACAATGTAGGCCGCCATTTTGTTGATGGGATTGATGCCGTTGGGACTTGTTTTGACCGATTTTGAATTGTGAACACCAGAGTTATTTAAATAAATCATAAATTACATTTATAGCTTTAAATATATTATAATTTATCTAATACTGGATACAAATAATTCTTAGGTTAAAACTAGCAACGTCATTAACCAATCGTGCGTCTATCATCATCATCATCATCATCACCAAGGAAAAATGGCTGCCTCCAGACGAGCGATGGAACGTACCTTTGTAGGCGTTTGCATGTTGAGTATATTTATGAAATTTGAATGCATAACGTTTATGTAAGCCTAGGTAAAGAGCTAAAAAAAAAAAAAAAACAATTTCGTCGCTTCATCTTATTCACAAGCTGCGAGGCTTTGTGACTGTTACTTTATTTTTACATATACCAGCTTGTTTGCGCCATTACATTTAGTGAATTCGTCCTTGTCGTAAACCAATTTTGCCCGTATTGTCCTTCGTGGAATGGGTTATCGACCCTTCTGAGGCACCGCTGCTTTCGATAGTTCTTAGTGCGAACGTGTTTCCACCACACTAGCATAGTAACTTTTTGAGGGATAAGTTCCAGTGGTGGAACTGCTGCGCCATTTGCGCTAAAACGAAAACCCTGCTAATATACTGCAAAGGTGGTATTTGCGCACAATTTGCGCCAAAAGGGAGCTGTTCTCAAAAAAGGAAACGAAGTGCCTGGCTCGTGGAATTCTTGGCGATGTTACTGAAAATTAAGAAAGTACAGTTGTTTCTTTGGATGCCTAAGTACCATGTTTGCATTAATGCAAAGGTGCAAGCGAGCTGGAAAAGAATAACGATAAGAATGCCTGGAGAAGGGAGTCTAACTGATAAAACCCATTTGCTCTACTGGCATCTAACCCCTGGTTAGCTCAGTTGGTAGAGCAAATTGGACGTTTTAGTGATTTTTACAGCGTAAGGTTGGTCTGCAGTAGGGGCGACACTGGTTTAAACTGTAGATGAGCAATTTTGCCAGTGCAGTACGACTGCTAACCTGGAGTCTTTAACGTGCTCACGCAGTAGTGATACACAACCGCACGCCGGTACGATGCTCATCCAGATTGGAACGGGCAGGGGTGGGGCTCAAACCCAGGATCCCTGGGTTCTGCAGCGCGAGCTTTCGCTCCACGCGCATCGAGCTGGGTGTGCGCTTCAGCCCACTCGGCCACCGATGGTAGAGCACTCCACTGGAAATGGAGAGGCCCCTGGTTCGGTACCAGGACCAGGCGGATATTTTCAGCCGTGCACCAGCCACCTGGCTGCGTTTGGAGATTTGTCCTTTGTCCCCTTTCTCCAGGGATCATTATCGTTACTCTGGTACAGTGGTCTGCAATGAGCTAGAACGCACAAACTGCAATAAGGCAGTACAGACAGCACCATACAAATGCTATCAAGTGCTCGGCAGAGTGCGGAGAGGTATCGCGTGTAGGGGGTGCTTCTACGAAGTTGAACATGCTCGCTTCTGCCAACGCTTTCGCTTGCCACCCCCTTGGCTCTGCAATCTGCACTGCCCGATCGCTGTTCACACAATTTAACTCGTATCTCGGACCACTGTACTAATCATTATCCCTGAAAGCCCTTTAATGGTACCATACACTCATGATTTACAGTAGATATTATAATAGAAAGTCCCTACAACACTAAACAACACTACTAATGCTCGAGCTATTAAGAATTTATCCGATTTTTATATAACATCCTATACTTCGCTTCAGCTTAACTCCAGACGCAGCCAATGCTACAAGTGTGAGCATGTGGTCCTGCACAGTGCTTGCAATGCACAAGCGCGCGTGCTTGGCAGAAACACTGAAAGCCCAGAGCGCACGCTTGTAGCATTGGCTGTATCTGGACTTAAGCTGGAACAAAGTATAATGGGATGATTATTGATGTTCAAAATGTATAGGCATGATTGTCTTGCACGTCACAGTAAATTTCAATGCTTTTCTCCTTAACTCGGCTAATCTTCTTTAGATTTCAATGCTTTTCTCCCCTACTCGACTAGTCTTCTTTTATTAAAAGGCATACCAGATTTGCCATGGCTTACAAGAGTGCTGGACTTGTGCCCCCGTTCTCATAGGAGAACAAAAGAGCTTGTAATAATGAGAATTGTTGAGGATTAGGGGAATAAAAATGAGTATGAGCAAGGAAGAGCGATCCAATCTGAGACCAGGACTAGACAGCCAGGTCGGTGGGCTACAAAGGGAGTTGCCTCCTTGTAAGACAAAGCCCCAGAGGTGCCCGTGGGATGTTACAGGCAGTGGGAGAGGACCAAAGCTCCTTATAGACCAAAACTGGCAACAACCCAACCAATTAACAGCAAGGGAACAGTGCAATTTGACAGAGGACAAGAAAACAAGTGCTCAGACACGCTGCTGACGCTCATTTGAGGGTTTATTTTCAAGAAAACCAAAAAAAGAATACAAGAAAAAAAAAAGACAATTCATAAAACAATTTTTAACATGCCATATCATTTTCACACAGATCTGCCATAATTCTTGATAAAACAAAACCCGTCACCCCCCGGTATACCGACGGAACGCTAAAACATTCGTCTCCCCTTCTCGATAAAATGAAAAAGGCCCTATCGATTTCCGTCTTATTTCTGCTATGCGCCAAGATCGTCAAATCATTGACCGAAGGGATGCAGCTACGCCTATTGAAATGCACCACAAGGTGGCCCGAGGGGGAGGAACGGAGAGAAAGGGAATGCTCCCTCACATTCACATACCTCCTTATCTGTCCATGGTACAATCTACGACAAGGGAGGAGGATCTGATACCAACACCTGTGGCACATAGGACAAAGGAAGTGCAGTGGTTAACATCAGATTGAGAGTCCTGGGTTCCACCTCGGTTTGCGGCACTGAAAAGACCACTGGCAAACTCTGCTTGTTAGCCAAAGATTTGACTTGGTGAAAAAGGGTGTGAACATAGGGTATTACCACTGGTCTGGATGTCAGTTAACAGAGACAGCCAAACCTTAACAGTCATCACAAAGAAACCCACCGAGGTAAGGCTGGAGACTTGTAAGCATACTGTTCTCGCATCTATGTCAACATGACTTTAACAATGAAGCTCATTTGCATGATGCAGCAATCACGTGCTTCACCAGCTTAAAATGTGTCGAATCGTGTAGCATTAGCCCCTTTTTAGAATGTGGTTCATAGGACCAACAGATGTGAGGGGGCTTAAGAGCAAGCTTCAAGCCTAAATATTGCAAAACCTTACCTGTGGATGTCTCATACTTTGATTTCAACCCGAAAGAACACTCCTTAAAATTGCCCAATGAAAGTGACAAAGAGCGATTAGCTACAGATGTCTGTCCAGGCGAGAACCCAGCAACTGCCGCTGACCAGAGAGACCGAACAACATTTCACTGAAGTAAGACTAGAAAATCAGTTAATCCAGATTGATCTTGACATCTCATGCAGGGGCGGACGCAGGTATTTTCGAAGGGGGGGGGGGGGGGGGGGGGTCAACGTATCATATAATTACAACCCCCCCCCCTTTCCCGACCCTGAACTTTTCCACATGCAGAATTCAAGAGGGGAGTCAGGACATCTGGACCTCTTCTCTGAATCCACCACTTTCATGTGCTGTGAATTGGAAGGGTCACAACTGAAATGGCAAGCAGCCATTATGAACACTTGGGGGGTAGCGCAATGATTTTAATGTTGAAATAATTTGCAGTTTGTATTTTTTATATTGTTTATCAAAGCACCAGTGAGAAAAAACGTGTCATCTTCCCCCAAAAATCTGCTATTCTGCTGCGTAATTGCACAAGAAAAAAAAAAAGAAAAAAATTATCGGCCAATTTGCAGCTGCGTGTAGCGGTTATAGAAACTACAGTGGCATGTCACTGGGGTACACGCAGAAGTCAACCAAACCTGTCCCCTCTCCTGCAACACTCACCGGCGGGGCTTGTGGCAAACCGTTTTTTGTGTGGATCGCTCGCCACGACCTTTGGCAATGCTAATTCTTGGAAAGTCGACAATGGAGCTTTTTCCAGTAACGAGCGCCACCTGGGGAGTTGTCTTTGAACTACAAATGAAGGGCAGCCCAACTTTCCTCCGCCTGCCAGAATACATTGGCATCATGCCGTTGTATCGATCTTCGTTGCCCTTTTAGGACTGTTCACACACTTGCAACTCCTTACAACTGAGTGCTTTGAAATCTCTTAAAACTTCTTAGTCAAGAGAACACACTGGCAGCCTAGCGCTATTTACGCGGTGACCCTGGAATTGCATTTCACAAGAGCAGAGGTTTTGCGGTGTTGGGGGAAGCGCACATATGCATGCACGTAACATAGGCTGCACCTCTCGAATGGCATGAGCGACCGCTGTAAGTGTTTCGTGCCAAGCCCGAGAGATGGCGCAGCGGCCGCGGGCGGGACAGAGCCGTTTATACTGAGAGAGTTTGGCCGATGGGCGGAGCTTGTTGGCCGCTAGAACAAGCGGATTTCGCGATAACACAATATGGCGTTACTTCTTTGTCTTGTTCATTCCTGAGAAATCGCGTAGAGTTCCTATGAGTCAGAGCCACAATATGGCGGACGGAAGTAGTCATCCCCCGGTTGTCAGACTACGCTGCTGTGGTTGTCAGACTCCAAATCTCCTTAAGGCCAAACTCTCTCAGTATAAACGGCTCTGGGGCGGGGGCGGTGAGGCGGGGTGAGGAAGACGAAGTTGTCGGGCGGAACGCGAGGGTTAGAGACACGAGCGATACCGCTGCGCGCAGGTATGCGAAGGAATAAAGTGTTTAAGAGATTTCTTGCGTGTGAGTACGACCGAGGCAACCAGTGACGAGGTACGTCACAGCAGGACTTCAGAGGTCAAATGTGCGTAATACCTATTAGAAAAGGTTGTATATAACATTGACAAAAGTTTTTCCGAGCCAAGAAAGGGTGATGTGCGAGAGAAATAGAAAATATGCAGGACCACCAAGTTCCCACCTGGCAGTCCCGCAATCTACCTGCTACCCAATACAGTGCAATCCACTTATAACGATACCAGATATAACAAGTGCTGCTTTTAACGATCAGTTTCTAGAGTTTCAAGACTAGAAATGCCCAGCTTCTATAGTCGGTTACAAGTCAAGAAGGTAGAAGAAGCTCCTCCCACAAGTGTGATGCGCCTCTTTCAAATCTCTCCGCAGTCGAAAGAAGAGTTCACTGGAAACGCTCCTTGTTCCGCTTCAATGGAATCCCACTTGTCTCCGATCCCACTTTTTAAGAAAGCGACCTTTGTATTCATCGGAGAGGGAACCGAGCCCCTGAAAGCAGCCTTTGAATCCATCGGAGGGGGAAGCTAATCCCCGAAAGTCGTATTTGTTTCCGTCGGTGGGGGAGAACTCTAATCTCCCTCTCGTGGCTTCCACAATGCTAAGTCAAAGTCGAAAGATAAAGCAAATATGTACAGAAAGGCAAGACCCTCCTCGCGCGTTGGCCGCGACGTCACGGAAACGGTGGGACGCTATTCGATGCGGAGGTGGCGGAGGGATATCTCATTCCCATTGAGGGGCATTTGCCGCTACCTTCTTAACCTGTAACTGACTATAGTCCAGATACAACAATAAAAGGTTATAACGATTGAATTATCAGGTTTTCTAATTATCATTATAAGTGGAGCCCTGCATATCTGTGGATTATCTGCGGATATCCACAGTAAACTGGCGGAAGCAGATAAAAATCAGACAACTTTTGGCGGAT